CATTAATAAGATCGGGACTGATGAGGCACGCTCAATCTTTGAGCCGAAATATGCCCTATTTCTAAGGTTTTAAGCCGTTTCTCGGTTTTTTCCTCATCCCTGCACCACCGATCCTCTTTTCGTAGTTTACTTCATCAATAGGGCAAATAAGGATGAACAGTGAGCACACGTTTTGTAAGAGGTGACGCTCTAGAGACGGCAGAGTGAGTGAAAGGTAGAGTATGTGAGAACCACAGCAGAACCTGTACGTTCACAATAAAATGACAGGAATTCAGTACCGGTACAGAAAGTCACATGAATTGTAGGGAAATACATTTTTGAGGAATATTCTCTCTTCTGTGTCTTTTTCTGAAGTATTTTTGTTTGATCACTCTTGACAGAAATTATTGTTTCACGGCCTTGCTGCGAGATTCTTCTGATTTTGTGAACTTTGTGGCCGAGGCGAACTTATTTGAAAGATTTGATAGATAGCCGATTGCTCGAAAAGCTCTTCTGTACAACTTACTGATGTACTCCTGTACAACAACAATAACGATTCATTCTCCCGTCCGGTTGCAATTCAAAAGACTCACTCTTGCTAGAATCTCAAAAAAGCAATTTATGAAAATTCTTCAAAAAGGCATGTATATCACAGATTCAACTATATGTACCAATAAGTGTTTCCTGCAGTTTTGCCGCATATTCTTACGTCTGTTATCGATAACACTAACTCTACCTCCAATCATCCCTTGGAGGCAAGCTTAAAGCAACAGTCCCAGCAGGGTCTGCTTCTTTCAATACTAATGGCACTAAAGGATGCACAGGCCCTATTGGAGAACATCTAAAGTGTAGTTATAAAGAAAACTCACCTGGGAAAAGCCTAAAAAGGGCGTTAAACTCCTCAAAGATGGGTGTGGTTGGAGATTTCTTCGGGACCGCCCACTTGCCAGCCACGGAGGCATTCGTGCTCGTTTTGGGACCACAGGGAGTATTTGAACTCTGTCCTTTAAAGTAATCAATGTGATCCTGCCTGTTGCACTGGAATTGTTTCTTTTTTTGTTGTTGTGATGTTGTTATGTTATGTATAGTGTTATGTAATTATGTTAGTGTTATGCAACTGGAGCGCATTAGTGCGGGCAAGTTCAGACAACTCGTCCAACGCGCGTCTTCCCACATCGCTAAGCGGCAGAAGGGGAGTCCCTGTTTAAAGCCCTGTTCGGCGTTTTTCTTTGGTTTTTTCGTCACTGTCGGTCAAATTGTCGCCTATAACTACATTATCAACGGCATTTACCCGCAAATTCGTCCTGGGATTGTTGCTTTAAGAATGAAATAAGTGTGTAAGGGCGTTCATTGATGAAGCTAGAGGTGCTACAGGTGGGGTGCGGTCTAAAAAAGAAGAAAGCAAGAGAACCGAACCCCCCAAATAAGGACCCCTTATTTCAGCCGCATTCCACCTTGGGATAGAGAAGGGGCGTGTTGGACGAGTTTCACGAACCTAACTCTAGTTGCTCCAGTGCCAATGACATTGAATCGCAATGCAACCGCTGCCGCAACTGCGCCCGCTCCTTCATGCAGCTCAAGCAGCTTCACATGGCAGCCGACAGCGGAAGGCGGGGCTTGCGGACGAAGGAGTGGATTGCGGGTCGAGCGAGCTTCCAGCGCCTTTGTCGCGCACTTTCAAGCCGCAAAAGGGGCGCGACATCAACGCTTGTCCGCCTGCCTACTATGCTCGGGTATGGAACAGGTGAACGTGTCCTATCCTGGAGCGCGCCTTCAGGCCTGTAAAAGGTCACTTTCTACAAAATGTGCGCTAGTAGTTCATTTCAGGCCGACTTGCTAGTATGAAGAAAAATCTATGAGCATCCAACTGCTCACACTAAATTTTTACCCTCTCTTTCTTTGCGATTCCAGATGTTCACGCTTCAGTTGTCATATTATATGAGCTTTTCAAGCAAATGCGTGCATTTTTGTTTCTGGATCGGATATGAAAGAAAAGTAGATCTATTTTGAAAAAAAAACTGGATTTATTTTGAGGCCACCACTGCACAAGATCATTGCTCACTTGCTGAGCACCAGTACCCATCTTTGCCCTTTGGCTGCTTGGGACAGGCGCGTTCGCGAGCACGACAAAAAACCAGGAAAGATAGGAACCTAACGGAGCATCTGTTTTCTGCACACCGTCACAACTTTCATAGTTTATTCCATAGTTTCCTCATTTTTGGGTATGTTGTACAAAAATCTACCGACAATATGGAAGGGGTGTACACATTATAATAAAAGGGGTGTGCCATCAGTTTACCATGCCGTTCTGGAAGGAAGTTGCGAAGTGGTTGCAAAGTGTGTACTGCTGTCAAGTGTTAATGACCCTATTGGACTTTGTCAGACCGAAATTCACATGAGGCGACAGCTCCGTCCACCCTTACATTACGCGATTCTCACAAGATGTAACTGAGGGTTTGTTGCACTTATAAGTGCAACGAATGTGGAATGGTTGCAAATTCCACAATACTTCTCAAATTTGGCCGTTCAACAGCGTAAAATTCAATCAAATTTCTGTTATCGTATTCACCCAGAGTAATCAAACGCATAGACGTCCGTGCCCAATAATTCTGCCATCGTCGGTATGTTCATACGTGTGGGCTGGAGATACTCGCCGAGATCTGAAGCGTTCGGCTGCGAGAATATCACGACCTGAAACAGAAAAGCATTCCGTTTTCAGATGGATAGTTTTTTCAGCATTTTGTTCGCTATTTGTGAATCCTATAAATTGTGGTGGCCTACATACCACCTCCTTTATTCTGCTCTCTGTACAAGCGGTGGTCGGAGAGCCCTTAACGACAACAATGTAATTTCCACGTCCAGTGCACAGCACGGAGCACTGAAAAATGCAGTAATATATGAAAGGATACACGAGCTCGAGGCCACATAGCTTAAGAGAGTGGCAAAATCTAGGCACAGGAATGTTCCTTTGCGCCTTACTGGTTTAGGGAAGAAAGGACGACACCGGTCTGATCTATAGCAGAGGCTACATTGTAAGTCACACTATATTGAACAAGCAAGGAGCGTCGCCTCTTGTACGAATATGTATGAAGAGAACATGTCCTGACGATTCTGCTTCTCAGGGCTGAACTGGAATTAATAAGCAAAGCTCTGTTAAATGAGCCTTCGAATATAGAGGTACCCAACCCTGACAGCGCTGTAAACGAAAATTATGATTTTCAAAAAGGGATGATAAATTGAGGTTGAACTGCAGCAGACGAGGGGTCAACTCTTTTAGAGGCTCTCGACTGCAAGCGAAGCAAGGAATGCAGTGGCTCGCTCCAGCGACAGGGACGAGCTGTCTGAAGGTCAACGGCAAGACGTGATTGGACAGGATACGAGCCGAAGAATTAGTAGCTGTGGAAGAATGGTGCGGTCTGGGCTCACTTTTTGTTGCTAGACGACCATTCTCGTGGACCGCGTACCATAGTACTGTGGCCGTGCATTTGATCTATGTATGGTACATCACATTACATAAAACAATGGTCTACCCCGAAAACCAAAATCGGAAAGGAGCACGGTTTCCTTGAGAAACTAATGCGGCATGCTCCGGAGAGGTCGCGTATGTAGAGAGTAACTCATTAATCTCGAATGAGTTCTCGTGAATTCGGTCTACTGTCAGTCGGCTAATGTTAGTCGACTGGACCTGTCGTCTCGCAGGTATAACATTTGAAGGGTTTGCGATGAATGGGAGGAATGCATGCTATTACATAAAGGATAAGGATAAAGCATTTGCCGTTGATCAATCCCTTTTGGGATGCGGCACGCATTCTACTTCCATTTGTACATTCGTAGTGGCGTTTGAATGCGATGTGGCCTATACAATGACTTGCGGGGGCCAGCCGATGTACAAGTCAGTGTTTTTATCCTCCCAGACAAGTCTGGTATAAATTAATTGCACAAGACAGTGTATTATCCTATCCTAGTGTATTAACTTATCCTACCAGACAATACTGGTACCATTTAACCCGAAGGGATGGAAGACTTGGATGGCCCGAAAAACGCATACCCAGAATTCCATCCCTGGAACGGGGCGCGTGGGAAACAGTGCCATCTCTCTCTACACTCTATCTTGCCCCTACAACTACTAATACATAGAGAGAATAAATCCCTTCTGAGTGGTATACGACTTTATGTGAAAACGTGGGAACTTATAGGAAATTTCCCGCCTAAGGAAAGCGTGACACTGCTTGGGTGACCGTGGGTTAACCTGTTATGTAGGATGAGAGATATAATAACACCCTGATGAGGAACAGAAGTCTTCGCATGAGTATCACATTGCACCCACAGCAATACGCAGGAGAATATTGGGAGAAACTTTCCATTTTTTGACGAACATAAAAGCATGGGGTCCAGAAAGAGTTGCAGGGCAAGTAAGAAAATCATGAAAAACACGACAACCCGACAGTGCTAGTAATGGCACAATTTGCAAATGAAGCGGTGGATACTGTGTAACGAAATTGCTAAACATAAGTGATGGGTAGAATCGATGAACCCAGATCTCGAAAAAAAAACGTTAAAAACAGTCGTGGCATTGGAATAAAGGTAACAATGAGCTGTAGGCAGCTTTCTTTTAATGATCATCGCTTACCTCTACTTGACTGGCCAGTTCTGCACAGTCAGCTGATGAACACTTTGTTGATAGTGGTTTAGGACTGATCCGGAAGCTCTGTCCAACAAGCTGAAATGCGTGTTTCCAAAAAAAACGTACAAGTTTTTCCTTGTATTCATTTGGGTATTTGCCCTATTTTGCCGTTGTTTACGAAACAGAATTTATCACAAGGAAGCATACACTGCATTCTTAAGTTGAGCTAATTAAAGATTCGTTGGACTACTTCAAGGAAGGCACTATAAGCCAACATTACGCCCTGACAAGCTTTTATATTTTTGTGACCTCCACAGGCTCTACATTAGAAGGATAGGAGCCTTCATGTGACGCCACAGCCATGAATAACTATTATATTTCCACTGTTTTATTTACCTTGGATGCTGTGGTAATCTGCACATCAGGCGTGCTCTCAATATGTGCCGAATAACTTCCTTTTTTCGGAGGATGAAACGCTAGTTTTCGAGCAATACAATCCGGCGTCGGTGGGCACAAGATATAGCAACATAAAATGAATCCCTGAACAGTGCGTGTAATTTGATTTCATCACAAGCTTTTTCAATAGCAAGGAAAATAATTTCCTTCAATTATTCCACAGTATTTAACTATCACTTGTCACATTGTACCATTCTCTTTTCAATTTACAACTTTTAAACGATACAGAATGAAAATGTTAAGTTTGAGCTGCTCGTTTGGGATCCCATTCCAAACCGATGAAACACTAGAAGATTTGAGATAGGTTGCACTCTCATTTCCGCCTTACACATATTCATGTCTGATCTATGCTCCATCTAGCTGAAGTAATCACTTGAGATCGCATTCCTTTCAGCACGTATCCTCTATTTCGGAAAATGAGAAGAGCGTCGAGTGCACCACACACTACAAGTGACGACGACCAAGAAAAACTGCCTTTTTCCCTGTTTTTCTGTCGGCCGTCGTTACTTGTGGTGTGCGGAAAGCGCTTGAAACTTTTTTCGTTTTCCAAAATGTATGGTATTTGCTCCACAAATTTCATCCTCCTGCATATCTTCAGCAATCTACTGTCTGCTCCTCATCAGGTTTTGTCGTCCTCTTAGGTCATTTCTCTTGTGGTGTCTTCTTTTCGACGAAGAATTTTTGTGAGATTTTGAAAAAAGTCTTCATCAAGTCATATCCCAAAGGGGTCCATCTCTATGTAACAGTATGTTGTTCTTCCGCACTCACTGAGGCCCAGTCGGCGGGAGTTAGCCCACCGACAGCCAGATCGAATTCTATTTTCATTGAAGAGAAATCGACCAATGATGTATGTAATCTCTACCAGGGTGAACAACGGTCGAGGAAATTTTCGACACGTGGGGTCGTATTTGCTCCGTAGTGAGGTGAGGGGGCAGTGTTGCCACAGCGGTGCTGCTGCCATCACTCGCTGTACCAACACTAACAATAAGTTGAAAATTCTTTCGAATAAAGGAGTGTGACGCAAGGACTGAATGATAATAAAACTTTGAATGGAAGCGTTTTGTTGTGCCTCGTCTTGCTGGTCCGACCGTCTGGCTATGTTCGGACTCAGGTTGAACTGTCAAAAAGACTGAGTACTCAACTACCGACTCGAGTGAGCCAGACCCTATCGAGATAAATGGTACCGAGCGTACACATGCACCAAGATACAAGTATCTTGGATCAGCAATCGCATCTGAGGGCAGTCTGCCTGTGAAGCGAAAGCGAACTTCTCGCGTGAATGCAGCCTGGTCGAAATGGCGCTCGATGACTGGCGTTCTCTGCGATAAAAACATGCCAGAACGTCTCAAATCTAAGATCTATAGAACCGTCATCCTAACCAGTCGCTATTTCACGGTGGTGAGTGCTGGCCTGCGACTGAAGGAAGATGCTCGCTTCAGATGAGGAGAAAAATGCTGCATTGGGCAGCCGGAGTAATACGATTAAACCACATTAAGATGTGTTTAAGAGAGCGATGAGGTGTAGCTTCGATTGCCGACAAGATGCGCGAAGTCCGTCTTCGTTGGTAAGGTCACGTTCTTTGCGTGAATGATGGCGGTTTCCGTGAGAGCAGGTTTAACCTTGACTTGCCTGGGAAGTGGCCTAAGGGAAGCCCGAAACAGCGCTGGCTTGATTCGTTGCACACAGACTTGTAAGCAGTTACAATACACCCTAACCAAGCACTTGAACAAGTCCTGTCATCTCATCAGGAAAACGGTTACATTTACAAATGTTATGGCAAATCGCTAACAGAATAAAGACAGAAGAAGAAGTTTGCTGCCCGACAGAAAGGATCAATAAGCAGGATGCACGCCTTGTAAACAAAATCGTACTCAATAAAATGCGAAATATTCACTCAACATTGATGTAAGCACTTCAAGGACCTTTGTAGGAGCAGGATCAGTAGACAGTTAAAAACGGGAGCTTTGCAGCGCATTATCACATGATGCAGCCGCAAATACACGCTATCGGAAGAGATTAGAAAGGAAGCGACATAAATGAAAGACTGATAATACCATGCCATGGCTATACGAGTTATCCTGATTAATCAAGACTACAAACACCTTTTGGTTTGCACAAGCAAACTGTCGTGTAGATAGAGTACCTCTTGTAAACATAGCAGTCTTCCACTTCACTCAAAAACTGATGAGTATGAGTCACCCTCTTCAGAGCGGAGACCGGCGACGCCGCCGACACGAAGAGACGTCTGGCAGCAGCGGCCGAGGACCGCGACCTCTTCCGTTCTCGTTACCTCCCTTTCCAAGGGCGACGCCCTCTGCACAAGCTGCATCAAGATCTGATCGTTCACTCTCGCCTCCAGTGATCTGTTTTGTGCCCACAGTTATCTCTTATAACATGGTGTGTACTGTACTTTACTTTCTTTTGTATGTGCTCAATACTCATTACTCTGGTTCTATTGGTGTCTTGAGGATAAAATTTATTAAACGAACTCTGAAGGCAGATGAACGATCCTACAGCTTTCACGGCGCGCGCTCGCTTACTCTCTCAACCGACTTCATATGGTATTACTGGCGCATGTCAAAACGAAAGATCTGCACCGAGTGATTCAAAAGATCGTCAATAAATTTATTGTTTTCCGAAGAAAAAAATCTATCATGTAACTTAAGCGTGCTACAGATCCTCGACGACTTTAGCTCGCGAGGTGAAACGCGTTTTAAAAAGCTTTGTGCATTTTCAAAACTTGAGGTCCCGTTTTTTAAGAATCTGCCTTCCTTTTTTGGAATGGTTTTAAGCGAAAAAAGTTACATCCCATCAAATAAGGACTAGATTTGGCGATTTCTCCAACTGGTGCGTTTCAATCGAAAGGCACACGCGGACGCTGAGTGTCGCTATACGAAGGGCGAGACTGCTCAACTGCTCTGTTCGATTGCTCCTTCCCTTTTCTACTTCCTGGCCAATAGATTAACTGGTTGTGAAAGGATAGAAGGAGAAGCCAGCCAGCAAACTTGGGCTTGGGACTTAAAGCGCGGAGAATTCGCGTCTCGGGAGCGCGTGCCCGGGTGTGCGGAGGGTGAAGGGGGTGTCCTCTGTTAGGGGTAGGGGTCGTTGAGATGCGCGCATTTCCTCGACACGATTTTCACCCTGATGTAGAGGTGTAGCGGAACTAGTACTACAAATCACACTTCACATGGATGGAACCTCATTAGATCATTGGATTGCACCAAAAGTTCGTGCCACTTTTTAACATTTTTCTGAGTTGACATTATCTCAACAAATAGCCATTATCCTTATCAATATATGGACTATCACTATCAGTGACTTGTTGCTGGCCGAACCGAAGAGTCGATGCCGCAATTCCAGAACGACAGCAGTTTCAAGCTGATAAAGTCAGTGAGGTCGACTTTGAGGTCCTCCTTTGAATCGTGATTTTTGCCCGCAAGATGACCGATCAACAAGTAGGGTAGTTGGCCTTTTGAAGGAGGCAGCTCACCGCTGCACGGTGGATCTGGTGGACTTCTCAACATAGCTTCAAGATGTGTAGAGTCCGAAAGTTATTGTCCAAAGGAGTGCGACCAAAGATACACATTTTAGAGTGGTAAGCAAGGGCTTAGCATACAACAACTTATCATCAGCCGTAGCGTCGTTGTTTAGCCACCGCACAGGGATGAAACAGGGTAGAGGATGTTGACTGCACTCGTGTTGCACTCTTGTGATTACTGATCAGTTCATGAGGATTTCTTTAGCCAAGTTCCCACAATTTTCCGGAAAGCAGGCCTATATCAACCGTGTAGCTGAAATGTCTGAGTGTGGCGGCCGTACAACAGGATAACTCGTGCGGGCCAGCTTTAACGGGGAAGCACACCTGGAACAGGATATTCTTCAAGCTGCAGTCTATACAACGAATTCGGTTTGGCCATTCTGAGCAAGGTGAACGATGACAAAAGATGTATAGCAAATATTACTTCTGGCACTGACCCGTTTGCGGGCTCGCGATGGAAGTTCATAAATCACGTGGAACCATGGCTCGTTTCAATATTCTATTTCGACCTCAAAAAAGCAGCTAGACGAGCATGATTTGATCACGGTCACCTAACGTGGCAAAGTTTTCGTAGTTATTAGTTGGACAAATTTAAAAATGGCGTAATGTGCGGTGCTGGTGTGAGGTGCAAAAAAGTGGCAAGAACTTATGGGACAGCTTAATATACATAATGTCTGTCATAACGAATACAAAAAAATTACCTTCAATGCTTCGAAAGGGCTTGCAATTTCGAATTTTTTCCGCTGAATGTGGTGGTGGAACACTGCTCTGAATGCACAAAATTCGAGCACGAGGTCTTGATCCATCGGAGATTTTTTGTAACGTACTGAGGCGCAGAACTTATATGGTGAAACGCCTTTGTTCCATAGGTTACGTCAAGCACTAAAAAGAAGTCCCTTCTTGTTCTTCCTTTTCACCTTATTCTTCTACCAGATTTGCTCCTCCCGCTAAGGCACTCATCACAGGGTAGGGAAAAACCACGGAATAGCAGCATGAGGTATTCCATTAACCACCTCACTATTGAATGTGTTACGCCTTCCTTGTACCCCTTCTCTGGCAGCACCATGTTCTCCCTCCTTTCTCTACTCCCTCCCTCCCTCTCTCTCCTCCCTCCCCTTCTGCTTTTCCTCCTCCCCTCTACCGCCCGCCGACTCCGGCTGCCCCGGCAGCACCATGTAGAATGAGGCTGAGTGTGCTCGTTCGGTGTTTTTGTAGCCATTGTGGGTGTTATCACAATCACCACATCAGGTTAGAATAATACGTCAACATGAATATAGACCTTACTCTTAAAAACGGTCGTTCTCTCTCAGTCTCTCCTCCCCACCTCCCCCTCCTTATACCCTCCTCTCCGGCGCATGACAGCGCCATGTTCTCCCTCCCTTTCTCCTCTCCCCCTTCCCTCCCTCTTTCTCTCTCTCCCCTCCCTTCCAGCCTCCCCTTTCTTGCCCCCTTCCCTCTACCCCTTCCCCTCCCCCTCATCCGGCTGCCACGGCAGCACCATGTAGAATGAGAGACTGAGTGTGCTCGATCGGTGTTTATATAGCCGCTGTGGGTGTTATCATGATCATGACATCAACATCACGAAGTGTTGCCCTTCGTACTCCCTGGTTTTGTGAGCGGTTGGTCCGGACGGACAGAACGACACACACACACCGACAAACCGACACACCAAAGTTCTGGTTTATATAATGAAGTGATTCCTACTTCTTCTCCCTAGCTTAATTCCGCGCCGTAAAGAATGGCTTAGTGTTTTGCAAGTCATCTCCACCTTCTCTTGTCAAGGCATCCTCTGCTCTTGCTTTGAACTCGTTGAAGCCTTTCTTGAAACCTCTTCATATTTTCTCCGAGGCTTCTCAGAATCGTGTACTCTGCGCTCAGAATTCTCGTGCTTCTTCTTCGCGGTGATCCTGTATAGTTCTCAGCGTCTCTGCATACAATCCAAGTCGCTGCTTTCGCGCCTTTAGTTTGGCGGTAGTCCGAATCGGCATCCACGTTCACGACCACCTGCAGTCTCACTCAGTCAGCCGCAGACCAATCTCAGCATTTTTTTTTTGGCAGAGTGAAGCGCCTTTTTATCATTCTTATTACGAGCCATTCGCTGCCATACAGCATCGAAGGCCCCGCAGCTGCCCGATACTCCGTTCCCTTGGGCGCCTGGAACGCCCTATATGGCTAAGAATGCCAAAGGATCCCTACACTTCATGCGCTTCGGCCTTTTGGTGCTTGGTCTACGTTACCGTCGACGGATAGCTTGCTTCATGAAACCGATATTCTTCTACTCTTTGAACTGCTTCGCCACAAATCCCTACCGATCTTGCATCTTCTTTCAAACTTGCCCCTCTTCAATTTCAGGCAAAGCAGGCATTCTTCGCCTGAAATTGAAGAGGGCCAAATACCGCTGTCACGCGACGCCGAAGCGTAGAGGAAGGTATTTGGTTGTTCCTCTCAAAGTCTCTTCACCACGACATCCAGAAACGAGGGAGCTCAAAGGTGATTGTTAGGTACCCCAACGGTGACGTCAATTTCCTGCGTCAGGCCTTGCGTGGTCCGTGGTATTATTGTTTCAGATACAACGACTATACTCTCTTCATAGCACCCCGGATTCAGACTCGTTTTACGCCTACCAGAGCGCTAGTCGACGAATGCGGTCGAAGGCCTTCAGTTGGAGGAAGGTAGCACGGTTATGGCTTCCCCGGATACTTTTCCATCACCCGGCTTAGCAATGAAAATGGCACATCCGTAGTGATCCGTCGTAGGAAGCAGTGGACTTGATCTTCAACGGTCATTGAGGCCTTCCGTGATCTGCATGAGATGGGGTGACCGGTGAACTGTCCTCAGAAATCAGGCAATTCTCTTTCTATTTACGGCATCAGATAAGAGCGGGTGAGCCATCTTTTTGGGTCCTCTCCAAGTACTCTCTAAGCGCCCCTATGCCTCTATAGGGACATCAGTTGGTACAGCTACACCTACATCGCCCATCCTTCATCGTCAACTGCACGTTGAACCTCATCCCCGTTCCAAAGTAAATATGAAGTGTAAAGGCGATAACCCTTTCAGCGGGCTCTTCGATTGAACGTTGTTCAGTAACCTTAAAGCCACGAGTCAGGATTAGGTGACCATAGAAGGCCTTTCCATCACTAAAATTTCCAGGAATGCGCTCAGAGGGGTGTTGCCGCACTCCTGACTCGAGATTGCGCGCCGTCAAGGTTTCTGGCCTACAACTTATAGCGATGGGTTTGTTACATCAGCTGGTCCCGCCCACCGCGGGATGTGGTGCGTGGCTGGCCTAACGTGTGAGATCAGCTAGGTTGATTGCCGTATCAACCGATGGAACGGCTGGCATATCCGGAAAACTCGTTTGGACGTGGCTCTCCCCCGAGCAAGCCTCCTTCACTGCTAGAAGGAAGGGGTTTCGATTTCGGTCTTGTCGACGGTTTCTTTGCGTTTTTTCTTCACTGTCGTTCCACCTCCCATCTCTACACTCAATTTCAGGCGCCATAATGCCCAAACACGAGCCTGACTTTTGCCTTTAAAGACTCTATCCAATCTGCGTGACTTCTGCTCCTTTCTAAGATGCTGCACACTTCACGTAAGCCGTAATATACCCGCACGTCTTCTGGCCGCGAGCTCCGAGCTTCCATCAGTCAAACACGAATGTGATTATACATTTATCTGCAGAGCGTCAGTTTCCTTGTTCTTCCCCCCTCGCCCGCCCCCCCGCTTCACTGCAACTACGTTCGCGCCGTACTTTTACAAGTTCCGTGAGGCAACGACAATCTGGGTTCGCTTCTCTGCCGGCTTGAAGCGTTGCCTTCATGTTTCTGATTGACTTTATAGACTCCCTCGTCAGACCATTGCATCGTTCGAGATCAGTTTAACGTGGAATTTTAGCTCCTTTTTCACCTTTCGTTCTCTATGAAGCTCTATATCGCAATGTTTCACGAATTATCGATGAGAGGCTTCCTAATATCAAACCTGCGTTGCTCAGGCTATACACGATCGTACTGGTACCTTGTGTTTCCAATTAAGCGCGAGCGGATTGCGGTGCTTACGTGGACAGTCCTTTATGGTACCCTTCCTTCCTTTCTACACTTATGCCCATTATCTGTTCATATCAGAGATGCGCCGTAGAAAGATTACACTGACGATTCAGTTAGGCCCCGTTCATAGTTCGCGACTCGGGAGATTAGGATAGTAGGCGACAGGATATTAGGATAGTAGTAGAGTAGGAGATTGCGCTGACAAGATTGGATACGTATCGATTGAAATCGCTGGAGAGTAGTAGATTGGGCGACTTCAAGCGAATAGATCAATACATATCTAATCTTGTCAGCGCACTATCCTAATCTACTACTATCCTAATCTCCTACTATCCTAATCTCCTACTCTACTACTATCCTACTATCGTAATATCGCAATCTACTACTCTCCGGCGATTTCAATCGATACGTATCTAATCTTGTCAGCGCAATCTCCTACTCTACTACTATCCTAATCTACTACTATCCTAATCTCGCCGTCAATACATATGTTTTTCATTGTCGCGTACTATCCTAATCTCGGAGTCGCGAACTATGAACGCGGCCTTACGTATTTCGCTTGCTCTCTTCTCCATTGCCGTGGAGCTTGACACCATCTCCGATTTCCTGACCCTGGTACATGGCAAGCCCACCATTGATTTTGCATCAAAGTTCAAATTCAAATTCGCTGCAACAAGGCTGCATGATATGCTCGATTTTGAAACACTGTAGGGACGCAAGTGGGTGCAACAACGTCACAAAATGTTGTGAGTATTGATAGGACTGAGCCTGGGAGGGTAAAGAGATTGCGGAAGGGGTAAGTATAATAGTTTTCACCTCTCCGAAAGTGCCTCTTCCCTCCCAAGCTTAGCCAGAGCGTAAAGAGATAAGCAACGGCAAAAAATGAAGGCACGTCACAACAGTTGCTTCATAGATGCGCACCTATTTCAATTACGAGCATATCCCCGATATTTTTACCCTTGAAACCTTTGAACACCACACAAATTTGTGAAACCACCAAAATAAATGAAATACCTCATGTGGTTCATCAGTCATTCCTAAAACGAGTGTTGATGTGAGTACGACCTACTCAGCAGACGGTATTGCAGTGAGAGTACCATTTGCCTTGTTCCATAATCTGATAAAATGTATACGTATGTATCTGTAGAACGACCATTCTTCCACTCGCACTCTATCGTCGAGTTCAGTTAGTAATTTATGAAAGTGTTCGTGCGAACACTGTTCCTATTTCTTTAAAGGCAAAGGTCGGGATTAGTTGACCAAACCAACCCTTTCGGTCATGTCTGTACTTGGTTACGCACCCGTACAGATGTTCCCACGCTCAAAATCTCGAACAACGCGGTAATAAGGCCTCAGGGCACGTACTATGCGCTATCGCCGCCTGGCCCGCTACGACCGCCCACCTTGGGATGTGGTGCGTGGCTGGCATAACGTGTGAAATCAGCTAGGCTTATTGCCGTATCAACCGATAGAACGACTGATATCTTCAGAAAACTTGTTTGTACGTGCCTTCCCCAAGACAGCCTCCTTCATTGCTAGTGGGAAAGAGGGTTTTGTTAACGGCCTTGTCGACGGTTTTTCTCAGTTTTTTCTCCACTGTCGTTCTACTTCGCATCTCTATACTCAGTTTCAATCGCCATAATACCCCCTTATTGAGCCCGACTTTTGCCTTTAAGTGAAACGAACCCTTTGATTGATTGTAACCCCGCGTTCATAGTTCGCGACTGGGGAGATTAGGGTAGTAAACGATATGCGCAGCACACTAAACTCGATGCTTGACCTATTGATCAAAGGAGTTCTTTGGTGCCAGCTCAATAAAGATCGCAGTTCTGTATGGGATAGACTATAAGGTCCAAGATTTACAGCGCATCGTGGAAGTTAATATCGTTTGCTCTCCATAGCACAGCTCTCAACTTGAAACATTTTATATCATAGACCCGCTTCAAATTTGAATGAATGGTGAACAAGAGGAGTCGAAAAATGCAAATGAAACAGTAAGATATAGATACACTAAATAAATAAGGTAAAATCTTAAATAGTAGGGTCTCGTTGAAAATCCCAGAACACGCGCTAATAAATGTGAAATGAAGTAACACGTAACTATATCATGAAAGGAAATGCATTTAAATTATATTTCGAGTGATTCATAGCTGCTTTAGAGTAATCGAAGGGCACGTTTGTTGTGTCGAGCCGACAATGAGAGAGTGGTACTTCTGGAGCAATGGCTGAATGAACTGTGTCTTTGCCGTGTCCCATGCTCTGCAATCATTAAATAACATCTACGGTTTAATTGAACGATGGTTCAAAATTAGATTAGATATAGGATATGGTTGAAAATCCATTTATATTCCCATCCCTTTGGAAGTAACGAGCAGCGTAGGATCATGGAGCCATTCTCTTCTGAGTCTCCCAGTATGGATCCCCACTAGTTGGCCACGTGCGAACGAAAAGACGGCCAGACAATAGCGCTAAGGCTTTGCCTTTGCCGCTGAGTATTTTTACTCATTTACAGCGTACGCGTTATCTGCGCCCTTTCGCAGTACATGCTGTCTCCCTTAGGACGGCTCATATGAAATGCTCTAATCAAGCTTCAAAATGCCTAATGAATTCAACGCGTAGAATCCCCTCAAATTGCAAGCTACATCGGCTCTTCCTTTAGCCAACTTTTCAAGATTACGTGTATTTAGGCGCTTTCGTGCTTTTAAACGCCAAAGATTCGGCTCACCCCGCTCGAACCCACTTAATGAGCCTTTACGGTGGCTAGAAGCGCTAGGTACGCAAGTGTAGAGGTCGCGTCACTTCCCTACTTCGAAAAGCGTTATTTAGACGCTAGGCGCTAAGAACTTTGACACGCTCCACCTGCTGCGACACGCTCCGCCCACCGCTCGATATCTTGTCTGCGTCGCTTTGATCTGCTATGCTCTCTCTACTCGACTTCTCTAGCGCTCTCCGCGCTCACATTATCTCTCATCTCCCTGCCGGCCTTTTGAACTTCTCCGCAGCGTAGAGCAAAAGGCTCGTATTTCCTGTGTATTTCACGATTTTTTTCCTTTTTTCTCCACTGGCGGTCCACTTCCTACCCCTACTTTCACATTTGAGTGGAATTACCTCATAATTTAATCCTGAATCTTGCCTTTAAGTGATGACACAGTTTTGCCTCAGGGTTTGAATTTCGAGTAGCTCCGAGACAAATTGACCAATTCTCCGTTCCCTAGCTCAAAAAATAATTGTCCACCCCGGCATTCCCTCCTCGGTGGCAGTTGGGGTCACGCGACGGCGCCGCCAGGACTAAACCTGGGAAATATATAGAGGAAGTCGTGGGAAACTACTAAACTCTACGCACCCTGAAGTTCCTTCTCTCACTAATGCTCAGCATCCAACTGAACGCTACTGCAGTTGTTTCGCCGTATTATCTTCCTTCCTCGCTGAATCAGTGTCTCCAGGGCTAGCACTAGAGAAAGCATCCGAATGCAATAGCACGGTGCAAGAGAACGCACGAACAGGGAATCGCGCCTCCACGTGGAGGTGGATTTTTCCAAACGTTCGCAGTGGAATGAAAAACAGGTCGTGCTTCTGAATGCCCTGGGTTACATGCCTTGCGAAGATGCCCTCTTGTACATAAACGCCTGAATTTTTAGCAGCAACATCATGGACAAAAGGACAGTACTAAAATTAGCACCAATATGCGCTTTCTGGCAGGCGCGAAGAAGCACATCAGCGAATTTTTGCGTATTTTCTTTTATCACACCGCAATTTTTTAGAAGATCCTTCCAACGATGGAAATCACTAGAAGTCCCGAACTTACCGCTCCCTTGATCCGAGAACGTCTTTGTGTGCTTCCACTTCTTCTTCTATGCCATTGTATCTTGAGTCAGAAATGAGTTTGAGAGAGATTGCCATTGCTTCTAAAAAGAAACAGATTACAGTCTAACCGTAAGTCTGTTTCAGTTTGAATGGGCTATTGGACAAGGAAAAAGGGGATTTTTTCTGAATATATGCGCTGTTAATTGTGAAGTAGTTTCCCTTATTACACCGATATATAGTAATATTATTCATACTAATAACTGTATCCTAACCATATTTTTTCTATGTTGAAAGAGAGAGCTCTACTCAATTTCACAAGTCCCTTTTAT